AGTAAAATGACACTTAGTGTTTGTTTGATCACCAGAATTGTTTTGTAGTTCTATATTGAGTTTATTGAGGACATTTAATACTATTCTCCAAAATGGCTATACTAATTTACATTCCCACCAACAGTGCACAAGGGTTCCTTTTTATCCACATCCACTTGTTATCACTCGTCTTTTTGATACGAGCCATTCTAACAAATGTGACACGATATTTCATTGTGGTTTTAATGTGCATTTTCCTGACAGGAGATATTGAGCATTTTTTTTTTCATATATATGTTGGCTATATAGCTTCTTTTGAGAAATGTTTGCTCAGATACATTGCTCATATTTTAACGAAGTTATTTTTCTCGCTATTGAGTTCCTTGTATATTGTGGATATTACCCCCTTTTTAGATGCACGGTTTGCAAATATGTCCTCCTAATCAGTTCATTATTTTCACACTCTGTTTAATTGTTTCTAGTTTGATGCAATCTCATTTGTCTACTTTTTGCATTTTTTTGTCTGTGCTTTTGGGGTCTTATCTGAAAAAATTGCCCAGACCAATGCCATGGAACTTTTCCCCTACCTGTTCTTCTGAGAACATTACAGTTTCAGGTCTTATGTTTAAAATACCGATTTATAGTCAGGTAATTTTTGTATATGGCATAAGATTGAAGTTTAATTTCATTCTTCCACATGTGGATATTCAGTTTACCCAACACCATTTATTAAAGACTGTCCTTTCCCAATTGCTCTTGGCACCTTTGTTGAAAATCAACTCACCATAAATACTTGAGTTTATTTCTGGGCTTTCTATCCTGTGGCATTGGCTGATATATTTTTATGTTTTTTTTGTTGTTGTTGTTTTGGCAGTACCATGCTCTTTTGATTGCAATAGTTTTATAATAAATTTTGAAACCAGGGAGTATGAGGTATCCAGCCTTGTTGTTTTTGCTTAAGATTGCCTATTTGGTGTCTTGTGGTTCCACATGAATTTTAGAATTTTTTTTTGTGAAAAATGACATTGGAATTTTGATGGAGATTGCACCGAATCTGTAGATTGTTTTGTGTAGTATGGGCATTTTAACAGAATTAATGCTTCCAGTTCATAAACACAGGATATCCCTGCATTTGTTTGTGTCTTCTTCAGTTTCTTTCAACAATGTTTTACAGTTTGAACATAGAGGTCTTTCATGTCCTGGTTAATTTTATCTCCAAGTATTTTTATTTTTTGGTACTATTGTAAATCGAATTGTTTTCTTGATTTCTTTTCTAGATAGTTTGCTATTATAGAAATGCTACTGATTTTGTACATTAATTTGGCATCCTGAAGTTTTACTGAATTCACGTATTACTTCTAACTAATACACTTCCCGGATTGGGATTTTTTTTTTCCCCCTTAATTGAGGTAGAGTCTCAATCTGTCTCCCAGGCTGGAGTGCAGTGGTGTGATCTCAGCTCACTGCAATCTCTGCCTCCCAAGTTTAAGTGATTCTCCTGCCTCAGCTTCCAGAGTAGCTGAAACTGCAGGTGCCTGCCACCACACCTGGATAATTTTTGTATTTTTAGTAGAGAAGGGATTTCACCATGTTGGCCAGGTTGGTCTCAAACTCCTTGACCTCTCAAGTGATCTGCCCACCTTGGCCTCCCAAAGTGCTGGGATTATAAGCATCAGCCACCGTGCCCAGCCTGGAATGGGATTTCTATTTCCTTCTCCTAATTTAGAAAGTTTTCTGCCCATTATGTTTTTGAATATGTTTTCTGTTCTTTTTTCTCTTTTCCTTCTGCTAGTGTAATAATGTGATAATATTCTGCTTGATGGTGTTCCGTAAGTTTCTTAGACTGTTGGCATTTTTGTTTCTTTTTTTTTCCAGTTTTCTCCTGAAGCACAGAGATTAAGAGCCAGTGCTCCAGCAGGGACTGTATAATTTGGGTATTGTATATGTAGTACAAACCTCTCCTTGGGAAGAAGCTGGTGTTTCCTTCCCAAGTATAAGATTTGGTGCTCAGTGTGCAGTGAGTGTATCTCCACTTTTCCTAAGTGTTTTAATTTAATTTTTCAGTTGCCCACTGTATGAGAATCTTTCAACTGGATTCTGGCTTTCTCTAGGGGAGAACTGATCAGTGTGTAGGTGTTTACTTGGTGTATTCTTGGGAAGAGGGATATTCAGGAACCTCCTGTTTCTCCATTTTGCTGATGTCCTTCATCTCTGATAATTTTTATGACATTTATTGTAAATTTTACTTCTTTGAATATTGCATGTTATTGTGTTCCTATAACTCTTCTTGAGCTTTGTTCTAGAATGTACTTAAGTAACTTGTGAACACTGACCTTTTCAGCCTTAAAGACTTGTTAGGTTGAGACCACAGCATTGTTTAGTCTAGAACATACTTCTGACTACTTCAACTGATGTCCTATAAAATGTGATACTTTCCCGAGTGGCTCCAGAAATAGGAACTATTCTTGGTTTTTCTGATTAGAAAAACCACATTCTGTTGCCTTTAATATTTTCACTTGGTTCTTTCCCAGCCTGATGCAATTTCCTTATGTGAATATGCTAATCAATACTCAGCCGAAAAACTGAAGGTGACCTTCAGGTGTCTGCATTCTTTCTCTGTACTGCTCTCTCCTTTCTGGTGATCTTCCCTGTGAATTGCAGCTGATTTAGTTTTCTTGATTCTCAGCTCCATTTTAATTCGTTCTTCGGGTAAAGTGACCAACTACTCCTGTTATCATGGGATTTCGGTGGAAAGGGCTTGGGAAATTCAGAAGTTTCACTTTTAAGATGGAAAAAGCAAGGCAAATTGGAACAAGCTGGTCCTCTTACTGCCAAACTCTGCCTTGGTTCTGCCTCCTTTTGGTGCTGCAGTATTGGAAAGTCTCTCAAAACTGTCAACTGGAGAAACTATAGGGTTCAACTATTTGTTTCCAGTGTCTTGGGGATCACTGTTCTTCACTGCGTGACAACTAGCATCTTAAAACCACTGTCTCATACATGTTGATTGTATTTTTTCCCCTTTAATTATTTCAAGGGGGATGATGAATCTTACTCCATTTTGGAATGATAACAGAAAGCAAAGTAAAAGCAGCCACCTTCTTCACAGGGCAGCAGGACGGGGTGAGTCAAACATCATTTTTATTCTGACAATGATACCCATATAATTTAACATATTAAATAATCCCGTTCAACACTCTTTTGAATGCTGCATTGACCCTCTTTAGTATCCAAAAGTTAGGAGTAAAAAATCCTTATTATTATTCTAAACGGAGTTTCACTCTTGTTGCCCAGGCTGCAGTGCAATGTCATGATCTCGGCTCATTGTAACCTCCACCTGCCAGGTGCAAGTGATTCTCCTGCCTCAGCTCCCCGAGTAGCTGGGATTACAGGCACGCACCATGACACCCAGCATATTTTTACATTTTGAGTAGAAACGAGGTTTCACCACGTTGGACGGGCTGGTCTCTAACTCCTGACCTCAGATGATCCACTTGCCTCTGCCTCCCAAAGTGCTGAGATTACAGGCATTAGCCAAAATGCTTGCCAAAAAAAGACAATTTTTAAAAGATGAAATTTGATTTTGAGAAGCCTGTCAAATATGTCAAAAAATTACAACCCTTTTTTGCATCTATGTTCATTAAAAAAAAAAAAAAGTTGGTGTGTAGTTTTCTTTTTTTTATTATGTACTTTCCTGTTTTTGGTATTAGGGTGATACTGGATTCATAGAATGATTTAGGAAGGATTTCCTCCATCTGTTGGAACAACTTCAGTAGGATTGGTACAAATTCTTTGAATGTCTGATAGAACTCAGAGGTAAATCCATCTGGTCCTGGGCTCTTTTGTTGGCAATTTTTTATTACGGTTTGAATTTCATTATTTGTTACCGGTCGGTTGAGAGTTTCTATTTTTTCCTGCTTTAGTCTAGGAGGGTTGCATATTTCAGAGAATTTATTTCTCTCCTCTAGGTTTTCTAGTTTGTGCATGTAAAGGTGTTCATAGTAGCCTTGAATGATATTTTGTATTTCTGTGGCATTGGTTGTAATATCTTTAGCTTATCTGGATCTTCTATCAGCTTTTCTTGGTTAATCTGGGTAGTGGCCTATCAATTTTGTTTTTTGAAAGAACCAGTTTTTTGCCTCATTTATATATTTTTATTTCAATTTCATTTAGTTTTGTTCTGATCTTTTTTCTTTCCTTCTGCTGGGTTTGGGTTTGGTTTGTTCTTGTTTCCCTAGTTCTTTGAGCCTAGGTTTTCTCTTTGGACTTCTTCAGCCTTTTAGATGTAGGTATTTAATGCTATGAACTTTCCTCTTACCATAGCTTTTGCAGGATGCCAGAGGTTTTGAGAATTTGTGTCACTACTGTCATTCAATTCAAATAATTTTTAAATTTTCATCTTCATTTTGTTGACCTAAAAATCATTTAGAAGAAAATTATTTAACTTTCACGTATTTTTATAGTTTTGAAGGCTAATCTTGGAGTTGATTTCCAATTTTATTTCACTGTGGTCTGCGAGAGTACTCGATATAATCTTGATTTTTAAATATTTCCTGAGACTTGTTTTGTGGTCTATCATATGCTCTATCTTGAAGAATGTTCTGTGTGCTGATAAAAAGAATGTATATTCTGCAGTTTTTGGGTAGAATGTTTTGTAAACATCTGTTAAGTCCAGTTGTTCTAGAGTATCATTTAAGTCTATTGTTTAATTGTGGACTTTGTCAACAAAATTAGTTAAGACAAGACGGTCAGAAAAGCACCTTAAAGATGAGTTGTAAAAATTTAAAACAATAGTAAATGTTTATAATGCAAGGCAGACATTTTACAAATACAGATTTTCTTTAAAGACGTAAATTTATTTTATTAAAAAATTTCAAGATAGTTAAATTCCAGAAAGGTGTAATTTCATTCAAAACGTAGTTCTTCTAACTTAGATACTGTTTCTTAGCTATAATTACTGAGTTCAGGATGGAATCCATTAATAAATAGGACAAAGAAAGAATAAGCCTGAACTCAGCATAAACCTAAAGAATTTTTAATTTTATTAATTTTTATATATATATATATAAAAACAAGCTTACTTTACATGAGGGTCTACTTTTACAAACACTTTATCTAGGATAGGTTTGTTTACATCCTCAAAGAGGGACGGCAGGTAAGCAAAAGGTAAGATATAATTTTTCTTAATTTTTAATATCAATTTATTATAGATACATATATTAATCAATTTTCTCTCCATGGGATTCTCCTATTCTCCTTACTGGAAGCAACATGTGGGAGGGAGAAATGATAATAATATACAAATATATTTCCTGCCATGTGGCCAACATAAGAAGCATACCATGTGGCCCACCTCTAGAAGTCACTTACTTCCACGCCATCAGATGTGTTTTTCCATGATGTGTGTCTTTCTCTTAAAAGCACCTCTGATTAAGTTGAGCCCAATCACGATAATCTCCCTTTTTTGATGAACACAAAGTCAACATGTTAGTAACCTAATTTTATGAGTAATTTCTCACCACAGTCATTTTTTTTTTAAATATTCAAGAGGAAAGGATTACACAACAGGTGTGCAACAGACTGGGAATCTGAGGGATGATCTTAAAATTTTGCCCACCCACCTGAATAGCGTTTTAAAATAATCTCTTAGTTATTTCATTCTCTAAGTAAACAAAGATATCATCTGTCAATAATAATTAACTCCTTTCCAGTTTTTTTTGTTTTTTTTTTTTTTTGAGATGGAGTCTCGCTTTGTTGCCCAGGCTGGAGTGCAATGGAGCAATCTCAGCTCACTACAACCTCTGCCTCCCGGGTTCAAGCAATTCTCCCGACATCAGCCTCTCAAGTAACTGGGATTACAGGCGCCCACCACCACGGCTGGCTAATTTTTGTATTTTTTAGTAGAGACGGGGTTTTGCCATGTTGGCCAGGCTGGTCTTGAACTCCTGACCTCAGGTGATCTGCCCACTTCAACTTCCCAAAGTGTTGGGATTACGGGTGTGAGGCACTGCTCCTGGCCTCCAGATTTATTCATTACAAATATTAACTAACATCTTTTTTTCTGGCTTATTTCTCCCTTGCGTATCATTTTATACATTTACACACACCTAGAACAATGAAAATGTATCAAATTATTCAATTTTTGTTAAATTTTTATTAAAATCTAATGTTAAAAATTATTTTTGTTTGTAGATGGTTTTTATTGTCGTACTCAAGAGTGTTATCTGTAGAGAAAAAGTTGCCTTTTTAATACTGCCTCTGCTATTGTGAACAAGTCATTTCTCTCAGTGGCTCTGTTTCTAGCTCTGTATAATGAAGATAATAGTAAGACCTATTATTTATTTATTATTTTTGAGACACAGTCTCACTCTGTTGGCCAAGCTGGAGTGCAGTGCTGTGATCTCAGCTCACTGCAACCTCTGCCACCTGGGTTTAAGTGATTCTCCTGCCTCAACCTCCCGAGTAGCTGGGATTACAGGTGCCTACCACCACGCCTGGCTAATTTTTGTATTTTTAGTAGAGACAGGGTTTCACCACCTTGGCCAGGCTGGTCTTGAACTCCTGACCTCGTGAACCACCCGTCATGGCCTCTCAAAGTGCTGGGATTACGGGTGTAAGCCACCGCTCACAGCCAGACCTGTTATTAAGTTACTGTAAAAAAAAATAAATGTATTGGCCGGGTGCAATGACTCACACCTGTAATCCCAGCACTTTAGGGGGCTAAGGTGGGTGGATCACCTGAGGTTGGGAGTTTGAGACCAGCCTGTCCAACATGGAGAAACCTCTTCTCTACTAAAAAAAAAAATACAAAATTAGCCAGGCATGGTGGTGCATGCCTGTAATCCCAGCTACTTCAGGGACTGAGGCAGGATAATTGCTTGCCGGGAGGTGGAGGTTGTGGTGAGCTGAGATTGCACCATTGCACTCCAGCCTGGACAATAAGAGTGAAACTCCACCTCAAAAATAAAATAAAAGGCCAGGCACGGTGGATCACTCCTGTAATCCCAGCACTTTGGGAGGCCAAGGTGGTCGGATCACCTGAGGTCGGGAGTTCAACACCAACCTAACCAATATGGAGAAACTAGTCTCTACGAAAAATACAAAATTACCTGGGCATGGTGATGCATGCTTGTAATCCTAGCTACTTGGAGGCTAAGGCAGGAGAATCACTTGAAGGTGGGAGGCAGAGGTTACAATAAGCCGAGATCACACCATTGCACTCCAGCCTGGGCAACAAGAGCGAAACTCTATCTTAAAATATAAATAAATAAATAATAAATTTATTGATGCATATATGGTGTTATGGTTAGTGCTAGTATAAATTAGCTACTTTTAATAGGATATTTATATGCTAAGTTACATTAATACATATTTTAAAAAAGAAATATCTTTTCATAACGTTTTTTGAATATATATTTAAATTAATTCTTCTAAGAATGTGGTATAGATACAAAACACTATTTAGCTTTAAAAAGGGGTACGTCCCATTATTTGAAACCAGATAGATACATTTAGAAGACATTATGTATGCTAGATAAAATAAGCCAGACACAGAAAGACAAATACTGAATGATCTTATTTTTATGTAGAATATAATAAAGTTCAACTCAAAAAAGCAGAAAGTGAAATAACAGTTACCAGACGCTAGGGGTGATAAGAAGAGAACAGATAGTTTTTCCTCTAAGGGTACAAAGTTTTAAATAGGGTAAGGAGGTTTTGAGATCTATTGCACACCAGGATGACCACAGTAAACAATAATGTATTAGCCAGGTGTGGTGGCTCACGCCTGTAATCCCAACAATTTGGGAAGCCAAGGTGGGTGGATCACAAGGTCAGGAGTTTGAGACCAGCCTGGCCAATACGGTGAAACCCCATCTCCACTAAAAATACAAAAATTAGCCGGGCATGGTGGTGCGCCCCTGTAGTCCCAGCTACTCAGGAAGCTGAGGCAGGAGAATTGCATGAACCCAGGAGGTGGAGATTGCAATGAGCCAAGATCGGGCCATTGCACTCCAGCCTGGGCAACAGAGTGAGACTCTGTCTCAAAAACAAACAAAAAAAAAAGTATTGTATATTTCAAAACAACTGAGCGAATTTCAAATGTCTCCCCACAAAAAAATGATAGGTAAGAAAGTTAATGTTATTTAACTTAATTGTTCTATATTATATGCATATATTAAAACATAACATTGCACCCCATAAATGTATACAACTATGATTTGTCAATCAAAAATAGTATTAACTTTTTTCTTAAAAAGAGAGAAATAAACCTTAAGAAATGGGGCCAGAGAAAAAAAGTGTTTTTTCAATCTCAACATTTCAGAAAACATCTGGTGCGGTGGCTCACACCTGTAACTCCAGCAATTTCAGAGGCTGAGGCGGATGGATCACCTGAGGTCGGGAGTTCAAGACAGCCTGACCAACATGGAGAAACCCAGTCTCTACTAAAATACAAAATTAGCTGGGTGTGGTGGCGCATGCCTGTAATCCCAGCTACTCGTGAGGCTGAGGCAGGAGAATCACTTGAATCCGGAAGGCGGAGGTTGCAGTAAGCCAAGATCATGCCATTGCATTCTAGCCTGGGCAACAAGAGCAAAACTCCATCTCAAAGCAAAACAAAACAAAACAAAAATTTCAGAAAACATATACATATATTTTTTGTATCTCAAATGGCTTCCTCAATTAGTAACGTAGGTAAGTAAATGTTTAATATTATAAGCATTCTGAACTCAACATTCAGAAATATGTTGATATTTCCTATTCAAAATAATACTTTAAAAGACAGATGTTAAAACAACTGTTTAGAGTAAAATTCTGATTTTTTCTTAAAAAAATATATTTGAATATATATTTTACACTATATTTAAATTTATCCAATAAGCGTAATTACTCAACAATAAGAACATTATTATAAGGAACCAATTTGCCTTATTTAATTTTAAAACTGACAAGCACATGATGTTTAAGTGCTTACTTATCTAGTGTTACTGGAGTGTTAAAGAGCAGCACTCAATAAGAAATCTTTTCATTGATATTTATATCTATGCTGTAAGTGAATATAGATTATAATGTAACAATTAACAAATAAAAGCTAATAAATTTTCTTTACACTCACTGTTTGTTGGGCACTCTTCTGGTACCTTTATTTGCATTAATTGCTTTAATCTGACAAAAACCCTAGAATTTATGCACTGTCATCCTCACTGTACAGTTGTACTCAGGTCATACAGCCTATACGTGGCAGAACTCGAATGCAATCAGAAACCACCTGATACTGAGTTTCAATCTTAACCATTTATGCCCAACACCCTCATAGCCAATTCTTTTTATATCTGACCTAACATTTTGCTTTGAATTTTCTAATTTTGTAGAAATAAAAATCTAGAAAACAATTATTTTAATCACAGTGTGTAGAACTTGATTTTTGGTTTAAAGTAGTCATTACTAAGCCAAACACAAATACTTTGTCAAACGGATTCTAATATCCCTCTTATGATTTAAAACAGTCACTAATTTCACTTTTGAAATGTAGTGAGTTTTTATATTAAAAGCTAGGATAAGCCTAAAATTATATATTAAAAAAATTGTGGTCTATATGTACATCATCATACATTCAGTGGTCTACAGTTTTTTAAAGTTTTAGAAACACTAAAATAAGAATATTTTTCCTATCAAATAATTAGGGAATATTGAGTTTTCTCAGGGACTAAAATGAAATAGATTGAAATTACTATATCAGTCTCTTACCAATGACCAAGGATTGGGTAGTTAAGTGACCAATAAAAACAACTGTAGACTTAACTTCAGCGACTAAAAAAATTAAATAAAATGAGAAAAATTTCTCCAAATTGTTACATCAATATGTAAAAGAAATATTATTCCAAATTTCAAATGCACAGGAAATCATTTTATTTTGCAACACTTAACATTCACACTTAAAAACAGAAGATTCGGGCTGGGCGCGGTGGCTCACGCCTGTAATCCCAGCACTTTGGGAGGCCGAGACGGGAGGATCACGAGGTCAGGAGATCAAGACCATCCTGGCGAACACTGTGAAACCCTATCTCTACCAAAAAATACAAAAACTTAGCTGGGCGTGGTGGCGGGCACCTGTAGTCCCAGCTACTCGGGAGGCTGAGGCAGGAGAATGGCATGAATCCAGGAGGCAGCGCCTGCAGTGAGCCGAGATCACACCACTGCACTCCAGCCTGGGTGACAGAGCGAGACTCCATCTCAAAAAAACAAAAAAAACAAAAAAAAAACCAGACGATTCTGTATACCAATGTCAGTTGTGCTATATCATAGAAAATCACATTTAATATTCTTCACTTGCCACTAATTCTCTAAATATTTTAAGATTTGTTGTTGTTGTTTTTAAGACTGAGTCTCGCTCTGTCGCCCAGGCTGAAGTGCAATGGCACAATCTTGGCTCACTGCAACCTCTGCCTCCCGGATTCAAGTGATTCTCCTGCCTCAGCCTCCTGAGTAGCTGGGATTACAGGCATGTGCCACTATGCTGGGCTAATTTTTGTATTTTTCGTAGAGACAGGGTTTCACTACATTGGCGAGGCTGGTCTCGAACTCCTGACCTCATGATCCACCTGCCACAGCCTCCCAAAGTGTTGGGATTACAGGTGTGAGCCACTGTGCCTGGCCTTAAGATACTGTTTCTATTACATTTTATATTTGCCACACTTTGTGTAAGAATCTAAGAAGAAATTTTTTTGGCGGGGTGTGGTAGCTAATGTCTGTAATGCCAGCACTTGGGGAGGCCAACGTGGGTAGATTACTTGAGGTCAGGAGTTCAAGACCAGCCTGGCCAACATGGTGAAACCCCATCTCTACTAAAACTACAAAAATTACCTGGATATGGTGGCAGGTGCCTATAATCCCAGCTACTTGGGAGTCTGAGGCAGGAGAATCATTTGAACCTGAGAGGCACAGATCGCAGTGATCCAAGATCACACCACTGCACTCTGGCCTGGGTAACAGAGTGAGACTCCAACTAAAAAAAAAAAAAAAGAAAGAAAAAAGGTTTTGCCACATTATTCACACTTGGAATTCTCCAGTATAAATTATTTTACCTACAATCAAGTGTGAAAACCATTTAAAGGCTTTTTCACATTCTTCACATTTCTAGGGTTTTGTACCCGTATGATTACTTTTATGTTTGTAAAAGTTTAAGGTGTTGTTAAAAGGATTGTCACATCTTTCAGCTTTGCAGAATATCTCTCTAGGATGAATTATCTTATGTCTATTAAGAACTGAGGACTTGTTAAAGGCTTTGTAAAGTTCTTCACACTTTTATGTTTTCTCTCCAGTATTACGTGTAATAAGGTTTGAGAACTTGTTAAAGGCTTCATCACATTCTTCACATTAGTAGGGTTTATTTTTCACATGAATTCTCATTTTTAGTAAAAGTCAAGGACTGGTTAAAGGCTTTGCCACATTTAACACATTTGTATGGTTTCTCTCCAGTATGAATTATCTTATGTTTAGTAAAGGTTGAGAATTGGTTAAAAGCTTTGCCATATTCTTCACACTTTCAGGGTTTCTCTCTAGTATGAATTATCTTATGTTTAGTAAGTTTTGAGGACTGCTTAAATGCTTTGCCACATTCTTCACATTTGTAGGGTTTCTCTCCAGTATGAATTCTCTTATGCATAGTAAGGTTTGAAGACTGGTTGAAGGCTTTGCCACATCTTACATTCTTCACATTTGTAGGGTTTCGCCGGTATGAATTATCTTATGCATAGTAAGGTTTGAAGATGGTTGAAGGCTTGCCACATTCTTCACATTTATGGGAGTTTCTACTTGATATGAATTATCTTATGCATAGTAAGGTTTGAAGACTGGCTGGAAAGCTGCCACATTCTTCACATTTGTAGGGTTTCTCGCCAGTATGAATTATCTTATGCATAGTAAGGTTTGAAGACTGGCTGAAGGCTTTGCCACATTCTTCACATTTGTAGGGTTTCTCTCCAGTATGAATTCTCTTATGCATAGTAAGGTCTGAAGACCGGCTGAAGGCTTTGCCACATTCTTCACATTTGTAGGGTTTCTCTCCAGTATGAATTCTCTTATGCATAGTAAGGTTTGAAGACCGGTTGAAGAAGCTTTGCCACATTCTTCACATTTGTAGGGTTTCTCTC